GAGAAGTTGTTGAAACTCCCTTACTAAGTGGGGTCGCAGGACTTCCACTTACACCTTGGTTTGGGAATGTAATGTGTACTGGCCCCTCATTCTTAGCCTTAGCCTTAGCATTTTCAAGTGAGCTTGCTGTACTGCTCACTGTCCCGTCGAGAGAGGGAGTGGGAACGCTCCCTTTTTCAGTCTGTTCCACCAAGTCTACCAGCGACAATGATGGTGATGGACCAGCCTCTTTCACTTCCGGATTTGTCACTACAGACGAATTAGTGACCGACAATGTCCTGGTTTGAGAGCGTGTCATGACTCTGTTGCTCACATTAGGTGAGCGAGAGCGAGATCGAGTTCGTTCTTTGGTACTCATTCTGTCCTCAGTTGGTGTAATGACAGAAGAGGAACGCCGTCTACTTCTATCATTCACCGATTCATTCAGCTTGTCTGTCTCAACAGAAGGATCCCTGGAGTGAGAGCGAGAGTGATCAGCTCTCGAACTTTCGGATGTACTCCCGGAAACTTGACCAACTACAGGCAGGGGGTTTTTGCCCCTACCAACACTGCCACGTCCTGCACTGCGCTGACCCTTAGAAGGGTCTTTAGCTAAACCCAGTTTGCTCAGCAATGAGCTCACCGGGCCTTGGCCCTGAAAAGGGCCTTTGTCCACACTCCGCGCACTTCCGCCCGCGCCAGGCCCATCCCCTCGGTTCGGGGAGTCCATCTCCGCACTCCGCTCGCTTCCGCCCGAGCTCGGCCCACTGACATCAAAAGAGGGGTTTTTATGAGTATTAGACAAATCCATTTTGAGTCCCACGAGTAAGGATCGGTATATCGGTCTGCACAGACAGAGCCGCCTTGTCTGTGTAAGGCTAGGGTTGTGAAGGTGGGGGTCGCCCGTTCCCCACCTCCAGAGGACGTGTCGCGACCGGCTAGAAACCGCCGGCCACAAACCCCTCGCCCACGTCCAGCTTGGGCTGGTTGTTTTTTATTGTGGTTGTCTCCACTTGAGGACACCCAGTAAAGGGCAGCCCCACCCCGGCTCCGCGCTTGCGAAATAACGGGGTCGGCCGGTGGTTGCTGATCAAAACAGCACCCGTCGCTCACGCCACCGTGACACGTCAGGCCCACCGCCCTCGCTGGCGCGGCCGCTACCCGGGATGCCCAGGACGCCCGCCCAGCCCGAACCGCGCTGCCGCTTCCCGACTTACCATCGGGGCGCCAGCCCGGAGCCCACACAACAAAAGTGCCAGGGTACGGAACCCCCAACACACCCCACACGACGACCCATGAAGGGCCAACGACGGCCTATAGTAGGCCGAAACCACCCTTCCATGCCCGACTGCCGCTACTCGGAGTATGTCTGAGACGCCAGCCGGGCCCCTCTACACCTATGGCTGCCTGTGCTAAGATAAATACTCTAAAGTTCCTTTTGACAGTTCTCTATCATACAACATAATGTTATCAGTCCGTATGTCACAACCAGATCGCTCGCGATGGGCAGAACTGTTAGGCCGTGTTTCCAATATGTTGTCACGGTTAATTTTTCGTTCGACAGCTATTATAGCTAACTATTTATCGTTGTAAAGTGGAAATTGTTTTTTATAGTTGAACTGAATAATAATGGTGTCTAGCTAGGACGTGAAATTTTATCGTTATTCGAGTGGGATCGCGTGAGGGATTAACATTTCATTTCAAACTAATATTTAAATAATGCCTCTTTATTTTTATTAAATATGTTGATCCTTAAACTAGCAGCTTTTTTTATGCCCCTTCATTTACCCTTTTTCTATTTTTTTATCATTACCGTGAACTGTCAGGATTGAGAGTGCCCGTAAATACCAAGATCAAACTTTTCTTGCGGGATTGAATTTTCTATATTTTGCTGTTCCCTTTGGATCGTAAAGACATTTTATGTGATGAATTATTATAAAAGTTTCCGGAAGGATAAGGAACGCGGAAAGAACATCTTTATTATACACATTATAAGATTTCAGTGTCGAAGATGATGTTAAAAATTAACCTATCTAGAGAATACATATCCTCAATTATCGATCCATGCTCTGAACACAGGGTTCAGGGCATGAATCAAGAAGGCCGGATACAGTTATATTGACAGCTTATGTCATTTATCAGTTTGATATCATAATAGTAAATCTTTAACAATTTTATCAATACATGTTCGAATTGTGGTAGACAATACACAATTTTTTATTAATATAATTTATTTAATAAATATAATATAAATTGTCGTAATAATCATCATTCATCAGCGTAATAATCGGTGCTGGTGCAATCAGACAGAAGAACCACCAACTTCTCGAAATATGCGGTAGTTTGCAAAGGAATTTTTATCGAGTGTATATATAAGGTTGAATATATATAGAATAGAATAGGTTTTTATTTGGCAACACATACCACATACACAATTAATATACAGTTTATAAATATGACAGAACATTTTTCTAACATGAGAACAAAAAAAAAGAAAAAAAAAGAATACACAAATATATATATCACATCATATATTTGTCAGATGTGACGCTCCACGACCGAAGATACGCTACGTCAGATATCCACAAACCCTAAAACTTGTAGCATCTGTCATCTCTGCAGCATGAAAACACGCCCTTATAGAAGACGGTACGACGGAAGTAGCGACATTATCTTGACGTCACACGGTAGCTCGGGAGCTACACGATGAATGTGGGTATTCATGAAATAAAAATATAAAAATATTTAGAATAACTTTTCACCAACGACTCGCCCACCTAAAGCAAGTGGCAAATGATGACTTGTCGTTACTTTTATCTCTAAGAAACGGCTTTATGGGATATGTTCATCCAACTAGATTTAGAATTATCCATAAACTCCGTCCATAGAATGGACTGCATAAGCCAAAATGTAATACTTAAGAGAGCACTGACTCCTGACATACAGGGCAACCTAATTTGGGAGACAGGGCAAATTGATTTGTTACGCTATGTAGTTACTCAATAAAGAATTATTAATTATTAATTAATTATTAATAGAAACATTATTGTAGGGAATGGGATGAATTAAAAGTAGAACACAAAGAATATAATTAATAAATCAACATCACATACATTGCTCAGAATCCAAGACGAGTAGCTAAAGCCCCGTATTATGGAGTATCTGAGATAAGGAAGGTCGTACAGCACTATAATATAAAAAAGTCATTATACATAGACCCGACCGAGAATCGAAACCGGGACCGACAAAGATGGCGACAACTTGAAACCGTTCTAATAATACAATAAAATCGAAAATGAATTGGATACAGTGTACCTTGAATTAATTAAATATTGTAGTTTTCTATAACGTTAATAATTCGTACTTACTAATTAGTAACCCTTCCTCTGTATAACATTAGTATAAATTAATAGTCCTCATGTGAAGGCTAAGAAACACCTTCCAGTCGTTAGAGACCAGTTTCATCCCGAACCACCGTCGGGCGTTGGCGATGGGCTATCAAGATTTTTCTCAAGTAAAAAAATACCTATTTATAAATAAATAAAATGCATAAAATTGTAAAATAATCACTTTATTTTTATATAATTTTAATTTTATGAGGCTCCGAGGACCACTTGGGATGCATCCAGGGGTCACCGGTTATGAACAACTGATAAAGATAACCCATTATCGTAAGAGTTAGATAAAAGAAACTTTATAATTCAGTAAACTGTATATTTTTTAATAAATAATAGATTTTGTTCTAACTGGTCGGCAGCTTTTGATCATCGGTTTATATTTTCGCACTAGCTTTCCGCCAGCGGCTTTGTACTATGTATAGATATTTTCAATCTACACTAGTATGATAAAGAAAAAACAATAGAATGTGTATTTGTTTATTTGTATTGAATAGGCTCCCAAACTAAAGGTCTGATTATAAAAATTCTTTCACCTACAGGAAACTACGTCTTACACTTTTGTAATTTTAGCGGGCAAAGTTGCGGGAAAACAGCTAGTAAATAATGTGATAAAGGGTTATTTTAAATTAAACTTCAATGAATTATAGACCGCTTTCGATTTGTGACCGCTTCTATGAATAAACTTTTCAACGAACATAATGTTTGTAAGTGTAACGCAACTTAACTACGAATATACTACGCCGTAGCACGTAACGTCTACGAGACCCTAGAGATTACAAGCACGCTTTTGCAAGGTAAAACCTCTAAGGAAGTTTCTTTGTCACGTAATAAGGTCATATGTATGAAACAGTCTGTAATGTTTTTAAATCAAATAGAAACATAAATTTCTATTTAATTAAAAAAATATATTTTTATCTTAATTATCAGATTTAGTTAGAATAAGTATACGAACTCTCATACATTGCTCGAATTCTTAATTAAGTACCAAAGCTATGCAAAGCCATTGTACTATGGAAATGTGAAACAGTGGAGACACCACGACACCCAGACCCGATATAATACCCTGAACGGTAATGAAACCCGGTACCTCAGAGACGGCAACAACTTGAAACCGGTAATAAGATCATAATGTACACGTACTGATCTGGTAATGGCATTCGTCTTTGAAATTTAATTAAATTAATCGATCCCGTCAAACTTGTACCGTTTGATTTGTCTACACAAGATCTATATAACGCCAGGAGGTAGCCATGGGTCCTCTCTAATTGAACGAAGCATTCCCTTCAATGGGCTCATCTGATCTCTGATCCAAGATTATATTATACAAAAGCTTGTTAAGAAAATTTTAATTTATAATTATTTAAAAATTGATGAGCCAGAATCGTTTCCTAAAAGAGCGTCAATAACCGATCCAGACTTCAGTTAGTTTTTAAATTTAGAATGGGCTTAACAGAACATTAACACCTGACGTTTCCGAATGCATTCGAATGCATCATTCACTTCTAATAATATCGTTTTAAATGATCTGTGCGTGCACCAAATGCGTTAACATTTCCAAAATAATTCAACGTATCCAAATTTAGGTCACGCCATCGTTCCGAACTTGGCAACGATGCGTCGCGCATTGGTGCGAAGTTAGCTCCGATTGCGCGCGCCGCCCGCCTTTCTAAACGCCCAGTCCTAACTAGCCAGTAATTTACTCACCATAAAAAAATAACTTGCAAAAAATTATAATAAAAAAAGGTATAGGCGTGTTTCATCCGCGTATTCGAAGATAGCTCATTGGAAATAAAATTAAAATTGAAATGGCGCGCGACATTGCAATGGATTGTTGCGAAATGTGAAATTCAGACAATATGCTGCGATCTTTCGATGGAACTTAGTGAGATGATAAATAAAGTTGTCGTGTATATACTCCGATGGTGTTATTTGTAATATTTGTGTCAGTGTGGTACGTAATTGATTTTCTTCAGCCTACTGTAGATCCTATGTAAGTATAGCTCTTTATTCCTTTGCCTTTTAGCGTTTCGTATGTGTACTTTAAAAATCAACTTAAAGCTCTGGTTACGATGGGAAAAATTTACCAAATGAGTGTTTTGAAACAAATTCGTAGTGGGAACTATTTTTAATTTGGTCCGATTAATTTCATAATGAATTAAATATTTTCTTATACCATGCGTTCTTATATTAAATACGCGACAGAAAATTTGCAGAAAACATGTATCTACATTTACATCCATATCTTTGATGCTATATAACTTAATTACTATTTTGTTACGCAAAATGAAATAACTAAAATTTTAAGTTGACTTGTAATTTTCTCAACGATAAAATTTGTATAAACGTTATAGATATTTTATATCTATAAAAAATACAGTCAATATTTTTTTAAACAATTTTACGTCAGTTATCATCATACTTATTAGGAAATAATTTATATCCTAAACCTATCCGGCGAAAATTAAATGAAAAGCTATTAGATCATTTATTTTACTTAAAATATATTTGTTTTATTAAAAAATCTATTTTAATCAATGATTTTGGTTATATTTTGAGTAATATCGTCGTGGCGCTGGAACTTAAGGAATAAATGCCTTACGTGCCTTAAACGTATTCTGTACTTTTAAGGCATGTAACCAAACTCATTTGATGTCTTTTTGAATAATTTAATGAATTTAGTAAAAACAGACAGAGGGCCAACCAGCGGAATCTTAGTAAAAGGTCCCTTTTTACCCTTTCTGCAGATATTTGAAACAGTAAAAAAAATACCTTTTAAATTATTATCAAAATATACGGCCATTTATCTCGCAAAAAATCTCGAATCCATACGCAAGGGAATCAAAATTACATCCCGTTGACCTAAAACTATAATATATACTATGATATATGGCAAGTAATATTTTTTAAAGGACAAAATCAAGAAAAATCTTTAAACTAGTTGCAATTAAATGATAAAATATATAGTTTAAATGAATCTAACTTTAAAATAGAAGCTGCTAGTTCAAGAGGAGCCCGATAGCGCGGTGGATAGTGCACTCGGCCTGCGAGGCGATTGTTAAGCAACTTTCGCAAGGGTTGGTCATACGATGCATGACCAGAAATGTATTATCTCCAGCTCCTTCGTACTTCGGAAGGCACGTTAAACCCTTGGTCCCGGCAACATATGCAGGACGTTAAGGCGCATTGGACTCACGAGATGCGTCATGTCCTATTCTCCCTATACGATTTGATGCGATTCCATTCATAGGAAAAGAATTTGCCCCAGCAGGCTTGTGATGGGCCCTGATAACAAAAAAATGATAACCTCTGGACTAGTCCACAGACAGAGTATCTAGATAGACATGAAATAGAAAGATTTTATTCAATAATTCAATAAGACATCATAAAAATTGGATGATACTTGAAGATAATTGTTGAAGATGTCAGGGAATTCACGCCCACTGGGACCTCAGTACTAACATGTTACATGTAAATTGAATTAATGAGGAACACGACGAATCACCAGTTTTAAAATGAAAACTTTTTCGTTAACGTTTTTTAGTTTTTCTGCCATAGCAACCGAAAAAATATCAAGAAATGTGTGTGATGAATTTATCATAAAAATCATATTTTTTCTAAATAATATCCATATGTTAAATAGATATAAGGCGACTACATATGAGACAAAGGTAGCAAGAGGTAATTTGCACTTTACCGCTTGCTACCTTTATCGTTTAGAAATGATTATTAAAAAGTCTTAGTATATAATGATAAATTATAGAAAAAACCTTAATGATGAAGTCGTTTGCAATGCCCTACGGATTGCAACTTTCGCGAGGACCTGTCATAGGATGGGTGACCGAAAATTGATTATCTTGAGCTCCATTCTTCTGAAGGCATAGTTAATTTATCCGTTAGCCACGATTGCATTTGCAGATGTTTTATTCCTTTCGCCCTATTCGTTGAATCTCTGCCTTTTCACCGAAAATTGTTTGGTGACAAGCGACTTGTTAACTAACGTTTCGTAGAATTGTATTGCAGCCAACTTATCATATTTTTTATTTTTAAATTCCCAACCTCACCGTTACTACCTAACTGTACATTTAGTCTGCTTTTTATAACGACATTTTTCAAAATGACAACTTTCAAATAGCAAATTTTGCTTTAGGCTACTTACTTTTCTCGTGGCTTTTCATTACGTACTGAAAATAAAACCGTGTTGGGTGTCACCACTCATGCCAGTCCGAATAAAAAGTGCAATAAACGTTTCCCATCCAGCGGTATCCAGGTCACGGGGACACACGGACTAAGTCATTGCATTGTAATAAATCCCACGAAAGAGTTTCTGTGAGTTTCAATGCAGGTGAAGCCGCTACCGGAGAGCTATTAATATTTAAAATGAGTTTCCCAAATTGCGTCTTCCATTTCAATGCTAAGTAAAAAAGATATTTTTTTATGAAATTATTTTTAATCAGTCGTAGTTTGTGAGCGGGCTCATGCGTTTTATACGACCGTGTGTTTCCACATCGCATCCGTGTTCAACGATGCGATGTTGTATACAGATACAATCAGATATGGGGCTCTGAAGCGGCTAGATCAAAGCTTTGTCTTCAAAACTACGGTCATATACTGTTGGGGCTCAGGCACACCCCATAAGTGGAATCGAATAGGGTGAATGGGCCATGACCCACCGCCAGGGCCCAGTAATTGCGGGCGAATTGATGGATGTTAACAACTGTAGACACAGCCAACCACTACCGGAACCTTAACAAAAGCTTAACATACCTTCTGAAGCACTGAGAAGTTGTGTTTACCTATCCTGTGACCAGTGAATGCGTTGCTTAATTGTGCCATTATTTTCTCAGGATGCGGTATATTTACGTTTATTTTTTTTTATAAAGAGTACCAAAAAAGCAACCCTCTGACCTTTATACAATAAGTCGCCCTCCCGTTCTATAAATAATTGATGTCTATTTTCACTCCAAAGGATTTAATTCATGTGTTTCCATAATTTTTTTCGTTTTATATACAAAATATTAAGATTTGTTTTAGGATTCCAATTTTAAAGAGTGCGAAGTATGCTTTTAAGTGAATATTGGAACAATGGTTATTTATTAAATATTTTAGAGAAGTTCTGGTGCATAAAGGATAATAATTATACAAACCTGTATTTTTGGTTAGAACATACTAAGCTATTATACTATTCCTTTAAGTTTATCTTATATATGATTTTTTTATCCAGTAACATCTATTGGGGTTATTGTACCGCCTTCAATTATGAATACAACACTTATTCGTATTATAACACTGAATAATACACGATGTAATTTAAAAATAAGTATCAACTATTTTTGAGAAGCACTAAAATAAATTTCCGAATTCTAGACAAAAAATAACTTGCATTCAAATCATCATAATATAATCAAAATCATAAATCAAAATATCGCATTCTATGGAATTTTGAAAAACATTTCATCAGAATCGAGCTTTACAATTTCACCACGTTAATAGTATTAAAATGCAAAGCTGGAACTGTTTTATTCATCACTTACTGTTTTATTATAGCCTACTTCACAAGCGTATGATGTAGCTTCCAGTACGCGAAAGAATTTTAAATATCAAGAAAACACATACAGCCAGTTGCACAAACGTCCATAAAATTTTTCATTGGTTTAAAGCGACATTATCGATACAAATTTGACATTCATTAGAGCTTAAAGACGTCATTAAACCTTAATGGACGTTTATGAAACTGACCGATAATCAATCAAATCTTTCCTGTTTATAATATTATTATAGACAGTACCTAACACAGATTATTTGAAGAAACATCTTAACAAGATGTGGTAAAACCATTTTTAAAGCGTCAATACATTGCTCTCATGTTCTGATAAGCTGAGTCAGATTCCAATATTTTTTATTGAATTCGGGATCGTTGTGTGAAGTATTTGTTTATTATTACAAGCTTTTATTTAACTTGCCTTGTCAGGATGTTTATTAGTGGGCACATTTTGTGACTCAAATTTCACCCATTTTCCTAACGTCCAATAGACTTGAAATTTTGCATAGACATATAAATCAGATGACAATCCAATATTATGGTATCAGTAAGCTGATATGATGATGAAGTCGGAAGGTGGCCTTAGGGACCTACTAATGAAATGACGTAACTGCGTCGTGTTTGGATTCTTTAGATCCGTCTTTATGAGAACAACAACATATTGAGATAAAACTAAAAAGTAAAAAATAAAAGTATAATAAAAAAGTTTTATAAAAACAAGCTTCTATTTGTGCGCGCTAAAACGTAAATATATAAATTCAAAACATTTAAAGTGCTCATACATATACTTTTATTCAAAAAAATTATTGAAAATTACCTCATTTCGGTGTTTTGTGTTCATACAAAATCCAATGGAAATCCGAAACACTCTTAGGTATTACAACGCCCAGACCAAAAACAAAATATAGAAAAGGATATTTTGTATGTACATTGAATATTTGAATTAGTTAATTTTTACGACCTCCGTAGCCGGTGCTCACACGATGATACGAAGATGTCGCCATCTATGAGTTCCTGGGTTCGATTTCCGGTCAGATCAATGTAAAAAATAAACTTTTCCATATTATTTTGAGGCTGAGTATTGTGTTATCTTCGCTATTACAGGTCCATAATGCAATGGTTTCAGTAATTGATGATCTCAGCAATGTATGCGATGTTGTCTAATACCAATTTACATTTAAATATATTTAAATTAAGTTAATTACCGTATACAGTCATTAAATACAGTGGTATAGAATAGAAGCCTTTTACTGCTAATTAGCGTGTAAAAAACAACATGACCTAGTTAAAAAGACTACACGTAATATAGTATGTTTAAGTATGACAACGCCGAATTCAAATAACACTCGCACTTCCTTATTTTGTATTTGCATATAAATACATAACGAGGAGGAGGGGGTTATTACCTCACCGATGCGGCAATCAAGCAACTTACTCACGGGCCGGGCATA